CAATAGCGGATGGCACCACTTCTCCTGTTCTTGGCTCTGGCACAGTTCATCTCTCCAAAACTCTTTCATTGACCTCTGTTTTAAATTTGCCACAATTTTCTTTTAATTTGATCTCTGTCAGTAAACTTACTCGTGATCTCAATTGTTGTGTCTTATTTTTTCCTGGTTATTGCTTATTTCAGGATCTTACAACGAAGAAGACTATTGGTAAAGGGCGTGAATCTAATGGCCTCTACACGTTTGATACACAGATACCTACAGCCACCGTTTGCACTCAAGTGCCAAATCCCTTCGAAGAACATTGTCGTTTGGGTCATCCATCTCTCTCCGTGTTAAAAAGTCTCCGTCCTCAATTTCATAGTTTGCATTCTTTAGATTGTGAGTCATGTCAATTTGCTAAGTTTCATCGTCTCAGTTCCTATCCTAGAGTCAATACACGAGCTAATGCTCTTTTTGAATTAGTTCATTATGATGTTTGGAGTTCTTGTCCTATTGAGTCCAAAAATGGATTTCGGTATTTTGTTACTTTTGTCGATGATTTCTCTCTTGTAACTTGGTTATATTTGATGAAACATCGTTCTGAGTTACTTTCTCATTTTCGTAACTTTCATGCTGAAATTCGAACTCAATTTGGTGGCTCTCTTAAAGTTCTACGGAGTGATAATGCTAAGGAATATTTTTCTGGTGTTCTTGGCTCCTATTTAAGTGAACATGGTATTATTCATCAATCCTCGTGTGTTGATACTCCGTCTCAAAATGGAGTTGCAGAAAGGAAAACAGACATCTTCTCGAAATAGCAAGGGCCTTAATGTTTCAAATGCATGTTCCGAAATACTTTTGGGCTAATGCTGTTTCGACGGCTTGCTTCTTGATTAATCGCATGCCTTCGTCAGTTCTTAAAGGTGAAATACCTTATCGTACTCTGTGTCCTACGCAACCTTTATTTCCTATTAAACCTAAAATATTAGGTTGCACTTGTTTCGTTCGGGATGTTCGCCTCCAGCTCACCAAATTAGACCCTAGATCATTGAAATGCATTTTCCTTGGTTACTCTCATGTTAAAAAAGGGTATCGATGTTATTGTCCTGATCTCAATAGATATCTTGTCTCTCCTGACGTTACGTTCTTTGAAAATACTCCTTTTTCATCGTCCTTGAGTACCAGTCAGGGGGAGCAGTCACAGAAAGATGATACCTTTCTTGTCTATTCTATTGTCTCTACTTCTACTGAAGAACTTCCTAGCAATACATCTCCCTATGCGCCTGATCCTTCTCTCCCCACTATTACTCACTCAAGTTTATTCTCGTCGGCAACCTCCTACGGACTCATGCCCTATACCAGCAGCTTATTTGCCTGTGGATCCAGGAACGAGTGATGACCTTCCTATTGCCCTTCGAAAAGGTAAGCGTAAGTGTACTTATCCTGTTTCTTCTCTTGTTTCATATAACCATTTATCATCATTTACTTGTTCGTTTATTGCATCCCTTGAATCTGTATCTATTCCTAAAACTGGAAAGAAACCTATCGGTTGTAAATGGGTGTTTGCTGTTAAAGTTCATCCGGATGGATCAATTGCCCATTTGAAAGCTCGCCTTGTTGCTAAAAGATATGCGCAGACTTATGGAATTGATTATTCTGATACTTTTTCTCCGATTGCTAAATTGGCTTCTGTCAGGTTATTTATTTCATTGGCATCTATTCACCATTGGCCCTTGCATCAGCTTGATATTAAAAATGCATTCCTTCATGGTGATCTTCAAGAAGAAGTTTATATAGAGCAACCACCAGGTTTTGTTGCTCAGGGGGAGAATAGAAAGGTATGTCGCCTTCGTAAATCCTTATATGGGTTGAAACAAAGTCCGCGAGCATGGTTTAGAAAATTCAGTCAGGTGATTGAGAATTTTGGAATGAAGAAGAGTAAGTCAGATCATTCTGTTTTTTATAAAAGATCTGAGTCTGGAGTTATTTTACTAGTTGTATATGTTGATGATATTGTGATTACTGGTAATGATTCATCAGGCATCCTATCACTCAAGTCTTTTCTTCATAGTCAATTTCATACTAAAGATTTGGGAATGTTGAAATATTTCTTAGGAATTGAAGTAACAAGGAGCAAGAAGGGGATCCTTTTGTCACAAAGAAAGTATGTACTTGACTTGTTAACTGAAACAGGAAAGTTAGCTGCTAAGCCGCGTAGTACCCCAATGATACCTAATTTACAACTTACAAAGGAAGGGGAGTTGTTGAAAGATMCTGAGAAGTATAGRAGATTAGTAGGGAAGCTGAATTATCTTACSGTTACGAGGCCAGACATAGCTTATCCAGTCAGTATTATGAGTCAGTTTATGAGTTCTCCTACGACTGACCATTGGATCGCATTGGAACATATTCTATGTTATTTGAAAGGTGCTCCTAGACGTGGCTTGTTATATAAAGATCATGGTCATCTTAATATTGAATGTTTTTCAGATACTGATTGGGTAGGTTTTAAGGAAGATAGAAGATCAACCTCAGGATATATATATATATATATTTTTTTTTTGAAATCCGTGTGTCCGGACCAGCTTGCGCGCACCTCGACTAATTGGAAGCCTTTAAAGACTTGAGTGTTGGATGCCTGATGAGTCATTAATTTTTTTGACTTACTCTTTACTGTGTTGTTAAATTACTGGTAATGAGTAAGTCAAAATTGGAAGCCTTTAAACTTCTTTGTAAATTTAGCTTGAAAGAAGTTCTTTATACTCCTAAAAGACGTTTGTAACTTTGAACATCCTCGTAACTTTTCAATTATTCAAAAAAGTAAAAATAAAGCACCCAACAAATTAGTAGCTAATTACAAGTGATCCAAAAGATAATTTCCTAAATAGTACAGTTATTTAACAATAAAATACATAAAAAAAATATTATTCATACCAGGAGTTCTTCGTGAACTTTCATATCTACTTCTCTTTCTCTCATCTCTGTCATGGTCCCTTTGATACCGGGATCTCCCATAATAATGCTCATCACCATCATAACTTTGCCCATGTCTCGCTCTCCTGTTACTTCTAATATCATTGTCAAAATCTTGTCTCTCTCTATCATGATAATCATGGTCTTGTCTAGGGCTCCTATACCGGTTCACGTGTGTGCTTTTGGATGACATAGTTACAACCTTCAATATAGAATAAAAGCAAGAGTATATGAGACTATGACTAATCTAGAAATATGATATGATGCATAAAATAATAACATATCCAGAAGCATATGACTTTCTATCAATAATCCCAAAACCAACGACAAGAAAAAGAATAACAGAGCAAGGATATTATCATATCTAAAGTAACCTTCAATCATATACATCATTATAAACTTCTTAATAGAAGTTGGTTTTCTATCAATACATGTGCATATAACCTTCAATCATATACATCATTATAAACTTATATATATTAAATATCCGTGAGTGTCTAGGCCAACTTGCACGCACCTTAATTATTCTCAAGGGACAACAACTAACCCTACTACATTTAATTGTCAAAGTAACTCATAGAATATTAAATCCCAGGCAGGTGACAATCATAGCTTGAACTCATCCCCTCTAAACTTTTTACCATTTATATTGGCCAGTATTGACGTCAATTCATGATGGTTGTAAGAAAATATATAATATATATAATAAATGATAATAATAGTCGTCATTCTGAAAAATTAAATCCATCAAAAATCATAAAACCAGCTATATAAATTAAAATCCCTACAACTTCATGACTGAACAGACATTAGTGTCACATTTCCATCAATGCTGATGTTAATACTGAGTTTGAGGTTATTCAATATATTGAAATCAAAATTAAGTTAGATTAGATTGCTTCAGGATTCAACTAAAACTGCACAGAAAAAAAAAAAAATACAATATAAGCAACCAAAATGAACTTACACTGGAATCCGAAATTTCACTTGATTTAGGATTCTTTAATGAATCTCCAGCTATTCCTTCTTGAGTCGCAGTACGCCCTGCAACATGAAAACCAACAAAAATATTTTTACATGAATTACAATTTTAATGGGAAACCAAAATAAACAAAATGGTCATGCTGTTATGTTTATATCTAGGAAAAGTTAGGTTGAAAAGTACGTCAAACGTGAAAAACTGGGATTGGAACTGCAGGATTAAACTCGTTAATCGTCAAGGATTTCTTATGGAAAGGCACTAAGGAAGAAGGTGATAAAAATCTTGTTAACTGAGACTTGACTTCTCTGCTCATCTCTGAGGTGGTCCTCGGGCTGCCAAATGATGCTGGAGGTTTATGAATGAAAAAAAAAATGCTCTATGGAGGACCATCATAGTAAGTAAACATTGCCTCCCAATAGTGGAAGGAACAAGTCCCCGTCCTGAAGTCTTCTCACAGATTTAAAGGCTCCTGGATCTCGATCACTAAGAACTGCATTCTGTTGATAATTGTTACAATTAGATGTGGGCAAAGGTGCCAAGATACGCTTTTGGGAAGATCATTGGCACACTAATGGACCTATAAGGTCTTTATAGGGTGGCCAACTCCAAAGAGATACTCATCTCCCAATGCTAGGTTGAAGCTGTGAGGAGTTTGGATCACAAATGTAGAAAAATCTCTCAGATGTTGAAATAAAAGAATGGACCGCTCTGATTAGCATTCACGCGAACCTTGCTCCTACAGACCGGGAGGACTCTAAATGTGGTCCCTTGATAGTGATGGTATTTTTTCCGTGAAGTTTTTGGTTCATAATATTAGCGACAAGAAAGCTTGCCTCAGCCAATCTTATATCATTATCATTTGGAAAGCTAAAATTCCAAAACAGATGACAGTCTTATTGTAAATGTTTTTTTTTTAATAAGAAACCGCACTTTCATCGAGAAAAATGAAAAGGAATACAAGAAGTGCATAAAAGAAAAACAGCCCAAAAAGAGGACACCCATTAAAGAAAAGGGGTCCAATCTAAAAGAATGACACCTAACTGATAATTACAAAAGGCATAAGAGACCGAAGCTCACAAAGAAGTCTTAAACCTAACAAGGTCCTAAACAGAATCCACCGTCTTCTCCACCCCCGAAAAATTCTATTGTTCCTCACCAGTCAAATACCCCACAAAGTAGACAAAAAACCCGCCTACCACAAGAATCGCACCCTATCTCAAAAAGGAGGGGAAAGCAGCAACTCCTCCAAAAACGCCCTAGCATCCCTAGGAAGGGCAAGCACTACCCCAAAACAATCAAAAAATCGAAGCCAGAGCTTCTAAACATACTGACAAGACCATAACAAATGCTCGAGGTCTTCTTAGGCACCTCTACAAAGAACACACCACTGCGGGCCCAAGCACAAGGACGAAGTCCGAATACGATCCAAGGTATTGATTTTTCCAAGTAAGACCTACCACCCAAAGAACTTTATCTTCTCAGAATTTTTATCTTCGGTAAACAAAAGGGTCGACAGGGAAGAATCCGGGGAGCTTAAAACATGAAAATAGGAACGGCAAGAGAAACCTCTAGAAGGGTTGGGGGACCACACAAGCACATCCTCCCTCCCAGGACTGAAAGAAACCTCCGACAACAAACCAAGCAAAGCGGAAACCTCCAGAGACTCACGATCTGTTGAAGAACGACGAAGCCCCAAAGACGGAGGGCGCAACCCCTTCCCCCAAGGATTCAAGATAGCGACCACCGAATGCAACCTCTTATCAGAAATATGGTAGATTCGAGGGAACAAAAGACTAAAAGGTTTATCTCCCACCCAAGTATCCTCCCAGAAGTAGGTATTATGGCCATCCCCCAAAAGAAGAACGAAGGAATTGAGAGAAGGAAGGAAGACACAAAGCAATAGCCTTCTAGGGTTTGTTATTATTCACCTTAGCACCACCTGCCGAGACCCACGCAAAAGGATGTGGCCCATACTTACAATAATCCTTCGCCATAAGGCGCTAGGTTCATGGAAGAACCGCCACAACCATTTAGCCAAGAACGCCTCATTTCTAAGCCTCAGCTTTCCGATGCCCAAACACCCCACATCCAAAGGCTTCACGACAATTTGCCAACTAACAAGATGAGAACCACCTCCCTCTTCCACCCCTTCCCAAAGAAAATCCCTCATCATCTTTTCTATGTTCTAACTAACAGCCACAGATACAAAGAGGGACAAAAAATAGGTCAGAATGCCCCTAAGAATGGACTGAATCAATGAGTTTCCCACCCTTAGAAAAGAAGGCTTTCTTCCACAAGGGAAGGCGTTTCTGACACTTTTCAAGCACCGGCAACCAAAAACTCGCACTCTTGGGATTATGGCCCAAGGGGAGACCAAGATAAGAGGACGGCAAACCACTCACTTTGCACCCCACCTGAGACGCCCAAGCACTACGCTTACCAGGGCCACAGTTAACACCCAAGATCGAGCTCTTACCTCTATTAATCTTAAGGCCTAAAATAGATTCGAAGAAGCCCAAAAGACAGTTCAGATTTGAAAACGAACTATCCTTACCAGAACAAAATAAAATGGCATCATCTGCAAACTAAGGATGAGAAAGACAAACCTTCTCCCGTCCCACTTCAAAGGCTTCCAAGCCACTCCATGCCGACAGTAACTAACTTACTAAGGACATCCAACACTAGAATAAATAAGAACGTGGACAGATCTGAGGCCTCTAGAAGCAAAAATTTAAATGTAAATACATGCATAGAATGCAAAGAAGAATGCCTAAAGCTTTTCTCTCCCCCCGAACTGGTGTCTGACGTGTAGAAGGAGAGAAAAGTGCACTAAGTATGTTTTCTTTCTCCACCACATCGCTGCTTCTTGTTGGTCTGAACTTTTTCAAGCCTTTAATATTCGTTGGTGCTTCCCCATGCGAAGCTCTGATTCATTTAAACAGCTCATTTCTGGTACCTATTTAAGGGAACAAGCTAGAATTGTAAAAATTACAATGTGGTGGTGGCTTTGCTTTAAATTGTGGATTGAAAGAAACAAAAGAATTTTTCAAGGGATAGACTCTTTTCGTGATGTTTCTAGGGACCTAGTTAAGAGTCTTTGCTTCTACTCGGTAGCCCACTCTAAAGATTTTTTTATTTATAATTCAATGCAAACTTTCGCCAATTGGAGCCATTTTTGTAATCTAGGGGATATCTCATCTTCTTGTTTTGTAACCACTCCTCTTGGCTATAGAATCTTTTGTTTCCTAAAAAAACAAATTTAGAGGATGTAAAATGTAAGAAACAAATTTATTTTCTTTTCTTTTTGAAAATGAAACAAATAATTTTTTTTCTTTTATAACAAGACATGAACTTTTCATTGAGAGATGAAAAGGAACTGCATAGGGAAGATAGGGTATCCCCAACCACCTTTAGCCATAAAAGAGATCACAAAGACTTTCCAATTGGCAACTATGGAGAGAATAATCATAAAAATGCTCATCCAAAAGGCACTTTAAAAGGGGGCAACTAAACAAATACATAAAAACCCATTCCTCCCAATGCCCTGGTCATGTCTAGTATGTTCCCCCATTATTCCCCATTCCTTCTGAATCTAAATTTCCAAAATGAGGATGGGACCTAGGTGACGTTCAACCAAAGGAGATATGGCTTCTTCCTAAATAAAACCAAAACCAAACTTCATATATGTTCTATAAGCTCCTCAGATTTCTAGGAGCTATGGAAGCATCATAGGATTTATCCCAAATAACATTTCCCTTCAATCAGTTTACACCTATATTGCAATGACAAATATCTAGAATTGTCAAGTAGCCAAAAAAAAAAAAAATTTACATGGTAGAAACTTTACAAGAAAAAACTTAAAGGTACCTTCATTTGAATCATTGGAAGCTACTTCCCGATAATGCCGACTTTTAACAGAATGATTTCGAGAGATATTAGCTTCTTGTCCAGATTCAGTGACTCCAGAGGATTCAAATGTCTCCTCTTCCTCCATTGATGAAACAAAAGAAGCAATACTTTGCCTTGGGACCTTGAATCCATTCTCGTTAGATCCTCCCCGTTTTGCATTTGCAAGTACATCGAGACCTTTACATTAAAAAAGGAACACAATAAACAACTCAAACAATTTTCTCTTCATAGGGTCAGAGTGAACGCAGCAATACATAGACATACTACATAACAATGGAAGAGACAAAGATAATACTAGCCGAAATATGCAAGTTAATCAAAAAAATTTCCATGAATGAAAGATGTAAATCCATTGGAAAACGAAAATATGCAAGTTAGATGAAATGGTTGTTGCTATCTATTACACTAATGACAAAATAACACATTAAGAAATGAAATAAAATAAATGAAGTTATGATGCAATAAAACACAATGAGAAACATAATTTCCAAAAACTATAAAGGAAAAGTCTTGATACTCAAACATGTACTATAAAACAAGGTAACATCTTTTTTAGAATGAGAACCCCTAGTTGTGGACACCAAAAATGACATTAAAATGGGACAAACCCCACACTTCGTACCAGGAACCCTCAAACCCTTAAATTCTAACCTTTCCAGAGGCTCTAACCCTTCGAGGCATAGTAAAGAAAAGGTGTTTGGCTAGGGAAAAGGACGGAACCAAACGAGGAAAAGAAATGATTTAAAAGAGCAAGTCAGACAAATTTATAGCAAAAATATTTCACATCACTGTAACCCCAATGTAAACAAAAACCATGCAAAAGAGACAATTAAGAAGACATATCCTTGGATTCCCAACCCCCACAGCTCTTCTTAGGCGAAAATTAAAAGAAAGCATGGTCACAGACATAGAGGACAAAGGTGTTGGAACTATATGTGAGGCCTCCCATTATTAATATTTATACGAGGAGGGGCAAAGGTGGAAATACCATTAACGGTTAGAGAGAGTGGGGCGGGTACAGTCCTTTTGAGTACGGGGGACCACGTAGGAGGGAATATATGGTCAGGATAGTTTTTGGGGAGGGGGTACTTCTTATTTTGTGCCAAGGTTCAAGGTAGGGTTGTAGGAGAGTTTCCATCCTCTCAAATTGGTGGACATCTTTTTAATGCCCAAGGGCTGTTTGCAACTTTTCTGAATATCAAAAGTGTAAGGAACCATCTTTCCGTACATTTTCCGATAGCTTTCAAAGCGTGGTCCCATATAGCTTCATTTCTGGATCTAACATTTGCCTTCCTAAGAAGATTGATTCAGAAGGTTTTGAGGGTGTCGACCTTAAGGGGAAAGCTTCTATTATGTGGAATTGTGCAGCGAGAACCTTGGTTTGACTCCTATGGAAAGAAAGGAATAGTCGTCTTTTTGAAGATAAGAAGTCCTTCTTGGATTCTTTTTGTGTGAATATACAGCATATGGCTTCTTGGTGGACTACTATCCACAAGAAGGTTTTTTGTAACTATAGTTTACATTTGATTATACGTGATTGGAAAGTGGTGATTGTATAGTTCTTTGGGGAGGATTTTCTCAACCCTCTGCCTTTAGACGGTTTTTTGGCTGGTTTGTTGGATCTATGGTTCTGTTTCCTATAAAAATAAAAAAGTGTAAGGAACCTTACAAATTGGTACCTGAGAAAGTTCATCTTAGGAAAACCGAGGGAGATAACACATAAAAAATTGGAAGAACGTTGTCAGTCCACAGAGAAGGAGCTACTAAGCATGAAGGAAATAATGGTGATCAGGAGCTACCAAGCATGAAGGAAATAATGGTGATCAGGAGCTACTAAGCATGAAGGAAATAATGGTGATGATCAGCACCCAACTGGAAGAACACTGGAAAAACAAGACCAGTGAAAGCACTCAAAAGTCCTTAGAAATGTTTATGGCAAAGATTACGGGTAACATAATGCTACCAACAGCGTGGGCCATTGGAGAAGATTCAATCGAGGAAGACTCCGGAGGAGACACCAGAAACAATGGACACACAAGAACAACAATGGACACACAAGAACGACATCACAATTGAAATAAGTTTAAAAAAGTAGAGATGCCAATATTTTCACTAGAGGACCTAGATTAATGGCTATTTAGAGCATAGCACTATTTTGAAATTCATCAGCTGACGGACTCTGAAAAAATGATAGTCGATGTGATCAATTTCGATGGCATAGCCTTGGCACGTTATAGATGGACAGATAATAGACAAAAGTTTGCGGACTAGGATAATCTAAAAACATGGATGTTTGAACGGTTTTGGCAGTCGAAGGAGGGAATCAGTGCGCTCGTCCTCTTGCCATCAAGCAAGAAAGCACTGTCACTGAGTATCAACGACTATTTGAGGCACTCTCCCATTACCCCGGTTGATAGATGACGTTCTTGAAATCGCCTTCCTAAATGCGTGGACTCATTCATGAGAGCAGAGGTGGTGGCCATGGAACAAATGGGATTAGACCAAATCATGCAAAAAGCCCAACTATCGAAGACCTAAAAAATTTGGACCAAGTTGCGAGCCAGTCGACCCACGAGTCCAACCCAAGTGGTAACTAAATCCCTAGAAAAAATACCAGAGGCAACTCCCACGCATATTGTAACCTTAATGAGCAAGGTAACAAGCACATCCCCTGCACTAAAAAAGGAGACAACATTCAAGAAACTGATGTAGATGTATATAGTCTTATTTGGTTGTTAATTCTTTAAACATAGCTTATAGCTTCCGCTTGTGATCTTTTTAAAAGCTTTCCATTTACTGTGTGGTAACTTGAAGTTACGGTTTAGCTTGTTAGTTCATTACCCTCTATAAATATGGTTCCCTTTGATGAATAAAGGCAGATTTGAGGTATTCTCAAAATTTTGTGTGCAAGTGTGCATCAGAAACTCACAAAGGTTGAGTACCAAAAACGTAAGAAACGTGGGCTATGTTTTCAATGTGAGAAAAAATACAATATCAACAAAGTGTAAAAATAAAGAACTTGAGTATTTGTCGTTCATGACAATGAGATAACAGATATGGACGTAGACGTGGGAGGCTGGGAGCAACCGAAGAGAAAGAAGTAACCTCAGACAAAGTGGGCAAGGTAGTGGAGTTCTCTTTCAACACCATGGTGGATTTCTCGACACCAAGCAGGATTAAGCTCAAAGGG